TTGTGCTTTAAATATATTTAATAAAAAATATTTACGATAACATAGATACTGTGTACGACGTGACCAGTTCGGATGCGCGGGCCCAGTAGTTATATTATACATCTGGCAACATGGCAGCGTGAATTTACTTTCGCTTTGTGTGTTCAAGGCTTGGGTAAGGCTATGCTTTTAATTATTTAATTTTTAAGTGAAATACCGTAGAAATTATTATATCACTTTATTGGTGCTATTGTAGTTATATTGAGACAAATTACTGAACGTTTTGTTACCCACGGATTGTAGACGCACGTGCAAAGCGTACGGTTTAACAGGTTGGGCACAACGGCTCATATGGGTAATGATTCTGCATATGGGTAACAGTTACCCATTTGAGTAACAATTTCATTACTTAAATGGGGAATAAATTGAAATGAAAACATATTTCATTAATAAAATTGTTACTCAAATTGGTAACTGTTCCCCAAATGCAGGATTATTACCCATATGAGCTGTTGTGCCCAACCTGTTTAACATTATCTATATATGCATGGCAATCAATAGACACTCAAGAATAATTAGGACTGAAGAATATGATTAAATAATATTGTCCCAGGAAATAATTGTTAAATTGCAGAGGTTGTGGTCTTAGTAATTATCTTCATTTGTTTATATTTTTTAAATATTTTTTATTTGTAAAATGCGAGGATTTAACCCGTATCATTAGTACTAATATTAATACACTACCTCTCCTGTCCCTTATATACAAATTGTCTCATTGTCAGGAGCTACGTTATCACAGCTACATATCACAAGCCAGATTCAAGTTCAGGTCTGCATATAATGGTTCTGGCAGGTCCTTAGTCACACAAATTTGATCTCTTGTTGAGACAAACAACTCAACAAGGAAGTATAGGTTCAAAGAGATATTTATTTAGGGTTTAAATTTTAATTCACATTATCATATAATAAGTTCAGCACGAAAGGTCACAAACATGAGATATAAGGGTTCTTAAAAGTTTCAAACAATGACAAGCAATATATAAAAATTCCTAAGAATAACAGAAAATGGGCCCTGAAATATGTTTGCAGTAATTTTGCTGGAAAATTAAATGAGGGGCAATTTTAATAGGCAAGGTGTTACCGTAGTGAAAAGTATATGTACATTCAAGGGGCCAAATCTGTGATCCCAAATGTTGTAGTTTAGTCAGAGTATACTGCTGAGCTGTTTATTCATGGTTAGATCTAAGACTAATCTTTTCCGTCCAACAGAACAAATGGTTAGATTTTCTTTAACAAATTTGACCCATGTCATTTTACCCCTTTTTTGCTGAAAGGGTAGTAACTTCTAAAAGCTGGATAAATACCCTCTTTATTTCGCACTTCATGTTAGCAAGCTACCTGGCTACCGATCATATATGAAACAAATTTGTTCAAATGAATGACCTTGACCCACTCTATGTCAAAACTGTTAAAACCATTAAGTAACTTCTTCTGAAGAACCTAGGGACTAAGGTGATGACTGACCCAGTATCATGCTGTGATTGAAGGCTATCATATTCAAATAAATAAACTTGGTCCACTTTCAAGGTTGCAGGGATCAAATTTGTGAAAACCTTACAATGACATCTGATAGATGTATGGTCACATTAAGCATGTAGCTTCATGGTGTACAGTTACATGAAGCAGTCTGTATGAATGCTTTAGACTAACCAACTTTGGAGGAATAATCGGTAAAATTAGTTAAAATCTTCCAACATTGATTCATAAGGTATAGAGTAATTATGTCATGCTACTTGGACAACTAAACCATCTGTGAAGGCAACAAATGGGAAATAAATTACATGTGAGTGATACAGGTCCTATGATTGGATATTTGATCACTGTGGCATTGAAAGTAGTTCATTCATGTTTTAATGCAGCTTTTGCATGTCTCCATGCCATATCTCCTCACCTTGTTGAAGAAGTTAATAGAATGCTATTTAAACAATGGAAATGTTTCAAAAAGTGGTGTTACAGTCCTATAGTATGCATTGTTATTGCTGAGTCCCAGTACCATAAAGTATTGTATGTGAAGAAGCAGATCCAAGACCATATTTTTGCAAGTCTTCAAAGGTAATAGCAATGTGTTTATTTCACATCTCAAGTTAATTTGAACCAATTTTGTTACAGAGCTGGGCACATGCACTTCTAGTCAAACCTCGGACACATACCTAACACCTATGCATACCTAACATTCTTACACCTGTCAAATATCCTACACTTAAAAATGGTATAGACTCAAGAGATATTGATCCGTAAATATACACTCTAACGAACCAGTCATGCATGTCGGCAAAATATTAGGTTATGGTGAATGGTAGATACATATAGTGTACCTGTCGTGACAGACACGGCGAATAAAACATGTCCTGGACGGTTTGATCATTATACAGAAAGTTAATTCTGTTAGAGATAAAACAAAGATTTTTTGATCAGTACAAACTTCAATATTTAGTTCAGTACAAATTTCAATATTTAGTTCACCAAAATGCTTTTTATATAAACATCTTTTGGTACAAAATGTTTCTCTTCGATTTTATCTGACTAAGTATATTCCTGTTAAATATAGAATTTGTCTTAGCAGATTACGGACTTCTACACTTTTACTGGCTAAAGAGACTGGCAGATTGAGAAATGTTCCCTAGAGAACTAAAGCAGTGTAAAGAATGTAATTGCACTGACGTGGAAGATGAATTTTACTTTTTATTAATTTGTCTCAAATTTCAAAACCTATGGTTTACTAAAAATAATTATTTGCAGAATCCTTCTGTTTTAAAAGCTATTAAGTTGTCAATTGTCCATAATAGTAAACAGCTTTGTATGCTCAGAAAATTTATCTTTGATGCTAACAAATTAAAAACTCCTTAATTTAATTAATTATCATGAATTGAATGTACATTATATATACAGGATCTTACATGAGTTTCCTTTTCATATGAGATTTATGAAACAAGTCTAAGAATTTTTCAACTTAGCGAGCCTCTGGCGAGCTAAAATGAAAAATTCGTGACTAGTTTCGTAAATTTCATATGAAATGAAAACGAGTGTAAAATCCTTTTTATCACATAATCAAGATTTGTGGCATTTATTCGTATAAAACAATAATTTTTATGCAACCTTGAAATTTAAAAAGCCGCCATTTTGACCAATGCGTCAGTCTGTTACGTCATGCACTAGATAGGCGTGACGTCACAAATAAAACAATGGAAACTTACGACTAATCACAGGGCTGATAGGTCATATAACATGGGCTGATACGCAAAAGAATATGGCATGGGTATATTCACTGGGTACCACAGTACATTATGTGATACATATCATTTAGCTATACACTGTATGTTGAATCATAGGCCTATGGCCTAAAATTTAAATAAAACTTGAAACTTGAAAGAACAGAAAAATAAAATATTGAATAAAACTTGAAACTTGAAAGAACAGAAAAACGTCTATATTCTAAATATTGGTATTCGGACAGCAGATGAACTCCGATATCTTCCATTAAGTACAGAATACAGATTTAAGTGACAGACCGTACAGGAGAGACGTGGCGCAATTGTTGACGCAAATGAAACCTATAAACTGTGAATTATACAGAAATATCTCAACTATGCATTGATATCCAAATTTTAATATTTTATTATCATTATTTTATTATCGTTTTTAAAATTGCATAAGATGAAAGTAACATAGTCATTCTCAAATTATGGACAGATAATATATTTTTGTCAACAAATACTTTAAAAGTCTTTCCTGTTCAGACATAAACTTCCCATGGTCGTCATATTGCGGTGATGTGGACATGTATGTGTGCATTTGTCAGATCAATGATCTAGATTTGTTTTACTTTTCAGGCCAAATGATCCAATACTTCATGCTTTTTCGTAATGGTTTATCTGGAAATGGCTTATTCGACCAAATATGGAACATTGCAACCAGATAAATAAACATAGATAAAGGCTACGGCACCACTCCGATAGCAGGACGAATTTCGCTGACAGACCAGACCTGTCTTTGTTTATTCTGTGAGCCTTATACGATGTAAGATATATAACAATGATAACAACAATACAAAGTAATTGGTACTGGGCAGAAGAGAGATAATCATTATTGATTATACATAATATAAATTATTGTAAATTGAAGTTTGATATTATAATTGTGTTGCATACGTTAGCTCCTCTCTTATAGCATTTTAAAAGCAAGTTTCTTTTAAAGTAAAGTGTTTTTTAATTATCTTTCTTTCGAGTGGCTTGCGTCACATGTTTTATGTATACAAGGTGAGACTATTATAAACTATCTTTGTCATACTGCAAAGAAAAATGTCGCACGGTGATTGGTCGAATTGCCAAGGTACCTGAAGCTATGTTAGTATCCTTGCCGGGGTACATAAGAGCACGCGCGCCTGTTGTAAGGGAGATAACTCGCAGATTCGGATCGAACACACCGGAGAACGTTCGTCTGCTAATGTCAAAAATGAACAAAATGGCGAAACGGTTTGCAACCACACGGAGAGGGAAATTGAGACAAAACGGGCGTCACTTATACCTACAAACACAAAGAAAAGTAACAATTCAGCAAGCAAAACCTTCAGAGCATACTTAAGCGAAAAGGAGCAAGACACAGATTTTGAGAACTTCTCGAAGCCAAGATTAGACGAGGCATTGGGCCATTTTTATCTCGATGCAAGGAAACAGGGTGGGAGTCTTTACAAGACGACAACACTTGAACATTGCTTTGCAGTATGACAAATTCGTTATACAGGTCTTTGGCAGGGTACATGGTCTCATGTTCGCTGTCAGGACCTTATGTACCCTGAGGCGAAGTATTAAATATACAATCAGGTACACTAACGTACATCACAGATAGGCTGTATAAACATGATAAACCCACCAGTCAGGGAATATAAATATATACAAATAAACGATTTCTTCCTCATATGAGCTAGTTTAAAATCAACATTAAACATGAAACGATAGACTTACCAAGTTTGGTTGGGATTGGTGGACAATCTTGTAAGATGTCTGTCCGTTTTGTTTTCTCAATCACCACCATATTCATCGCTGTCGCATTTGCTGGCCCCAAATTTTTCTGTAGTTTATTAGCTATCCTCCCGCTGTAATTGCGTATAATTTCAACGTTAGCATATATAGTCCGTAATTGTTTACTTTCAACTAAAAAGTAAAATCCCACCTGAAAGATTAGGAAAACTATCACCAGAGCCAAACAGAATTTAATAGACGTCCGTAGAAAGGTAGTATGTCTGCTATCTTTCGTAGCCATGTTGCTGTTGCGTCGACTGCTTAACAGATACAGTGTAATGTGGTCACGAATGGCTGGGTCGACTCACGAGCGATTTGGTCGGGTATTCACATTGGTATACAACCATGCATACAGGTAGTACTAAAACAGAACAGCTGTTTATAGATACAGCTGTTAACGGTCTACTTAACATATTTTAGCGGCATTATCCAGGTATATTTATGCAAACAAAAACAAAACAAAATAATTGGTGACAACCATTCAAGGCCCAAACTTAACATCGTCCTTATACAAATAAAAGTTACATACAAATTCAAATATGATTAGAATTTATTTAAGAAACAACCAGTTTGTCCATACAAATCAACGTGACTTTAATTGCAAATCAATGTTATATCAGTATATATCAATAATTATTTATAATTTATTTACGTCTCATCTCATTGCATAATACAAACATAAAACATAAATCAAAATGAAAATACCCACACTTTAAAACATACTCATCAACACTATAAATTGAGCCATTCACTATTGAATTATTATGCGTATCTGGGGACTAAACAAATATAGAGTTGTACAGTCAATCCAAAGTCGTGCTTGCAGATATTTTCTAGGTACCAGTACTAATGCCTCAAATATTGCAACACGCGGGGATATGGGATGGAATTCATGTATGAATAATAAAAAATTAGAAGTCTATCGACTATGGATAAGATTACGTAATACGGACCCAAATAAACTTGTTTTTGAAATTCATACTTGGTCCCAGTCCATACATATGAGTTGGGGGGGAGCTAGAACTGTAAAATTCCTTCGTGATCGGAATCTAAATTGTTTTTTAAATGACTATATTGATAAAAGAAAGTGATTTGGATAAAACTTTATATGAGGGGGTCACTTTATATTTTATATTTTTAGTTAAATTTAAATTTTCATTTCCTATTCCCATTGCCTATGTTTTACTTTTTTTATGTTTATGATAGAATAGAATCAACAGTCCCTGCACGTAGGGCGTACAAATTGTACCTGCTGCCCCCATTGCATGATCGTAAGAGGCGATTAAATTTGGGATCTTATCTTTTCTCTTCTTTCTAAACCACTTTCTTCTTCCTTATGTCTCCCTTGACAATGCCTCACTTTTGGCCTTTAGTTGAGCGTTCTCCCCTGTGAGGAAGGCCTTGGCCGAGAGTTTCTACTCCTGCTTAACGCTCATCAATTTAGAAGTGAGACGACTGCTTCGTCCGTTGTCAGTTTATTGTGACCGGGTGGAGTGTCCGGCTGGGTGTCTTCGGCAGTTTGTTTCAATGAGGTAGCACTATAAAGTCGGCATCAGTTCCTCGCTATCACAAGGGAGACAAACACGAAATATCGCACACTACACGAACGCATCTTGCACACGGGGGAGGCCGTCCTTAAATGGCCATAGCTGTTGATAGGACGTTAAACAATATTAAACCAAACCAAAAACCAAACACAATCAACAGTATATATATAACCCAATTCACGTTTCACATAGTAATTCAAATTCAGTGCAACTGGTGACATTAGTTCGTCTTAATTCTATACTTTCACTTGACAAGCTTTGTATGAAAAAGATAATACGTTTTTTGCTAAATGATTCAATCAAATTTAATTAACTTGGATATCCATAATATCTGTACAAAACCGAATAATGTAAATATAATAAAATACCAGTATAAAATGTCTGCCAGTATTAATATACATGTATCAACAATTTTGAATAGCGTTGTAATTTCTGTGTAAAACGGATACAAGTAAAATGTGGGATATTTTTGATATTTATGAATCCATGTACATTAAGAATTTATTCTGTATTTGATGAGTTTAGCTAGTGTACTTTACTACCTATAGGGATCGTTAGACATTTGGACTATGAAGTGTTATACGAAATGTCCAATCAAATTCGTATCAGAAAATTCTACTATAGTCCTCACTTTCTATGGAATAATAATCTAGTCAGCCAATAAGTTTCAAACTAGAATCAACGCAACCATACGCTATATGTCAATATCATGCCTCTTTAGACATATATTTTAGAAACTAAACTATTCTTATACGACATGTATCATAAAAAAACAGATGCCGGTGCACGGCTTTTGAAAGGTTGCACGTACAGGGGGTGCCAATGACTGTCTTCACACCGAGTTTCATTAAGATTGAAATAGGAACTCACCCCAAGCTAGGACCAGGAACATTGAATTTGAACAAAATCTCAATTTTGACAATTTTCGGGTATAGGTTCCTAGGGGGTCTAAAAACCGTGCCGGAGCACGGCTTTTGAAAGGTTGCACGTACAGGGGGTGCCAATGACTGTCTTCACACCGAGTTTCATTAAGATTGAAATAGGAACTCACCCCAAGCTAGGACCAGGAACATTGAATTTGAACAAAATCTCAATTTTGACAATTTTCGGGTATAGGTTCCTAGGGGGTCTAAAAGCCGTGCCGGTGCACGACTTTTGAAAGGTTGCACGTACAGGAGCTGCCAATGACAGTCTTCACAGTAGTGTTTTTATGTGTGTTACAAGTCCCCAAACCACAATACTCCCTATATAATATCCAGTGCCAGTCCCCATATACGTTACAAATCCCAAAACTCTACACAATCTTCCTATATAATATCCAGTCATAAAAATCACCAGACAGAGAAAGTATCTATATTTCACACTTGTATTTCATGGATCATCAGTTCGGATGAAACGGATTGTTATTATGAGAGTGGACCCCTATAGCGCCCGTGCTTATGAAGCAAATGACAAAACCCGTTGCCCCGTGACGCTGTTTGAAAACTATTGTTCCAAGTTGCACCCAAATTCCGATCCCAATCATTTCTACTTCCAGCCCCTATCCAAACCCAAGGGAGATATATGGTTTTCCGAAGTCCCCGTTGGACACAACAAGCTGGCCAATATAGTAAAAAAAAACATCACGAATCTTGCTGGATTCAAAGGTTTCTATACAAACCATTCCCTGCGAGCTACAACAGCTACGAGGTTGTTTCAGGGAAATGTGTCGGAACAACTGATTATGGAGCAAACGGGCCATCGCAGTGCCGCTGTATACGGATACAAGCGCGCGAATGACGATCAAAAACGCAGTGTTTCCCGCGTTATCCAATCGACATGTAAAAATCAAGAGTCCTCCCCCTCTTTGGCTACCACTAGTGTTCCCAGTCCGTTTCCAATTTCCCCCGTATATAACTTCAATAACTCCGAAATCCATTTTCACATGTGAAACATTGTGAAATTATTCATCATAATGCAATATACAATGTAATAATACGTACATTTATTAAAAGCATTTGTTGAATGTTGTCATGTGTACTGTGTTTTTTTGTAACGACAATCAGTTTTCAAAACTAGCCTGCGGGAACAATCCAGTATTGAATGGAATTTGCACGTGCCCAGGTTGGTATACCACAGGTAGGGTGGTATATGCAAATGATGCAATATACCAACCTGGGCACGTGCAATTTCTATTCAATAGCGGGTTGTTCACGTGGGTTACACACCGGGTTGAAATAAAAGAGCCGTGGTGTAAGGTGTGGATCTGTTGAAACTGAGTCGGGCACGTTTAAAACGTTCCATCACAAAAGAGAGTATCGGCGTCAGGTGTTAAGATCCATTATTAGCAACTAAAAATATTTGCTTCACTCTAAATTAAATCAATTTAAATTAAAATTTAAAAAAAAATTATCAAAGCATTATCATCTATATACATGTATATACCATTAAGTATATAAAACATGTAAAATAATTGTTGATTTCTCGTTACTATTTTGTATGATCTAGCTGATGAAAATGGTATATGATATGAAAAAATGGCTAAAAATGATGAAAATAGACTATATCAAAGCTACATGTATATATGACAGTACAGGTAATGTAATGTAACCTGATACAGGTAATGTGGGAGAACACAGGTATAAAACCAGGTAAAATATATATGAAACAGACTTTAACTGCTATCACAACATTACTGCCTCTATGGTTTTTTTTAAAGTTCAAGTTCTTTCAAGTTCTTTATTCACCAAAAGTCTTAAGACTTATAGGTACAAAGTAATCATGATATATTGTACATGTATATATGTTATAGGAGAGTGACTATAAGCATACAAGTGCAAACTAAACAAAGAACATAATACAAAAGCACAAAAATTATAAATACGTGTAGCTAATTAATCAATTTCGCCGCTTAGTGGCTAGATATAAATATTTACCTAGATTTGACAACTCTTTGACATTATTTACAGATAAAAGTTGGACAAGTTTGTAAACAGAGGGACTCTTATAATAATACTTCTTTATATACTTTAACCTCAAATCATTATAAAAAGGACATACAAAAATGAAATGAAATTCGTCCTCGACGTCTCCCAAATCACATTTGCTACAGTTTCTATTTCTGCGAATGATATTATTGTGTCTACCCTTTTCGATATTCAGTTGATGAGACGACGTTCTAAATTTAGTTAACATATATTTGTATTTTGTTTCAATATGTTTACGGAGATAAAACTGAATACTATGACTGTCTATAAGATATTGATATAGTCTACCTTTTGATGAAGCTGCTATCTTTGCCAACATATTTTGCTTAGTAACATCTTTCAATCTGTGTTCAATAATTTCAAAAGTGTTTACCAATGGTAGATTCGATTCAAAAATATAACCAAGACCTAGGGCAGTTAATTCATTCTTAATGTTACAAATCCACGGATCATTCACGTTGACACATTCATCATAACAAGTTTTTAATATCAAATTATCAGATTTCGTCAACTTCAACCAATATTTGAATACTTTTAGCTTTCTTGTAACAATTAATGGTAGTCTACCCAATTCACAATAAACTAAATCATTGAATGTAGATTTACATACTCTAAGGACTTTTTTGCAGAAATTCAAATGAACTCTCTCTATATCAGGAGCTTTGTGAAACCCCCATATTTCTGCACCATAGCTTAAGATGCTGCTGACATAAATATCAAAGACAGAGCATTGGGTTTCCAAATTCAAACAATGGTTCTTTAAAGAGGATGATAATGAAAATAAAGCCTTTCTTCCTTGGTCCGCTAAATGCTTTTGGGTTTTATAAAATTTACC